TTGCCTCCTTTTACATTTCGATTAGGGTTTGCGTAGCTTCCGTAGCTTCCTCCGCGCTGCCACCCACAGATGAAGCGCCTTTTCCTTCCAACTCGGCTCGATGAACGACCTCGTAGTCGTTACTGGATCCTTCCCTGGACGACATTTTCCCGACGAAAACCCTAGAAACGTTAAAATCCGTATAGAAATTAGAAAGATGAAGAGTTTTTAAGGGTCCTAGGTGGAAGAGAGAGAAAGAGAGGGAGAGTACTTGTAAAGGTATGGGGCGCATTAACCCAGCTCAGTCCCATCAGAGGGGCAAGATCGTAACTTCCTCTGGGCTTTTTCTGAAAAAAGTCAATTCGGGGCCTCGTCGCAAATACTATGCGTATTTGGAGCTATTCCACATGGGGCAAAATACAAGGGGGCTAGTCACACGAAGTTCCCACTTTTGGGGCCTGGACACATTTTTCCCAAATTTTTTTGGAGTATTTAAGTATTAGATAAAAAAAAATTAGGGTATAACTTGAGGGTATTTAAGTGCAATGTTTAAAAACTTTGGAGTATTTAAGCATTACATAAAAAACTTTAGGGTATATAAGTGCAGGTTCTAATAACTTGAGAGTGTATAACTACTACCAAAATCAAGTGAGGGTACGTAAGTCTTAAGTTTAAAAAATTTTAGGATATTTTCTTGTTGCCAAATACAAGCGGTGGGTGTGTGAGTGAGAAGTAGGTGAAACAGTAAGTCATATAAGTACTATTTTTAGCCTCAAATCAACTTCCTCTACAAATTCCATGCAATTGATTAGTTTTGACAACAGCACTTGAAAATAGCACGTACATAAAATTCATAAATCGTTAATCAGTCGGGTCCTCACCACCACATGCAAATTACTGTTGGCTGGCATATCAGATGCAGTGCTCCACGAGATTAATTATGATGATAAGACCCCTTCATAAACACTATCTCACCAATAAATCGGAGGAGGATAAACGTCCCGTCGTTAATCAAAATCCATCCTTTTCAATCATTTTCTCAAAGAGTAGGAACTAGTATTAGATCGCTTGTTTGGGTTTTATCACCAAGAATCAATCTTGTCAAAGAGATTACACGAGATCTTTGTTAGGGTGGAGCTAATAATAAGCTAAAGGTTTTGAGGAGGACAAATTTTCAAAAGAGACCCCTTTAGACTTTTATTTCAAAAAAACAATCTCATTCAAACAAAATTACAAAAACCGATCTGATTTTAGCTTCAGCGTTGAAATCAAATCGATTTTTGTAATTTTTTTTTTGAAACTTTACGGGAGTTCAACTCCCGTGAAGTTTTATAGTTCACAATTTTTTTTAAACTATGAAAACTCCTGTGAAGTTTAGCACATCTACTAAACTTTATAGAAGTTCAACTTCAACTCCCGTGAAGTTTCGATTTTTTTTTTCAAAAACCGACCTAGTTTCAACCCTGAGGCTAAAACTAGGTCTGTTTTTATAATTTTGTTTGAATGAGGTCGGTTTTTGGGATTAAGTTCACAAATAGGTCCCTTTTAAAAAGGAATATACATCCAGATGTTAAAAGCTTTAGAAAAAGACGCGTGAAGGATATACCCGCTGTGCTAATTGATTGTGAAGAAGAAGAAGATATCGCACGGTTGTTGAGGAATTCGCATATTCTCCGTAAGAAATACCCCTCAACAAAAATTAATTAATTGTTGAGGATGAGAGGGGGGGGAGGAGATTTTGTCCAATTTAACTGTCCGAATGTGACTTGTTGAAAAGGAGGGGAAAAAGAATAGAAAATTCCAAACGCCATTTTGATTATTGTAGAGGAACAGAGGATTGTGGATACGGGGATAACCTTTTCAGAATCCTGCGAACGCAGTGGTAGCGAAGAGTCTAGTGATAATTGAGCCTAGCGATAGTGGGCTGCAATCATTAAAAGTTCGTTTCATGCTCTGCGTGAATCATTTTATTGGCCGCAGACGAATGGCAGGAACCTGTCCTTGGCAAGGGAAACAGTGCAGCTTGAAAGGACTCTAGTGGTTTTTTTTTTTAATGTCCAACGAAGGTCTTAATTACTCAGAACATCTCCCACGGCTTCCCCATCTTCTTGAAATACTCAATTTTAGGGAATATAGAGCTTTTTTTTGTCTAACAGATTCTCCATCCCATTCCCCAAAATATGGAAGAAGGAGAAAAAATAGGGAGTCTTCCCCAAATCTGCAGCATTCTTCAAATTTTTGGGGAAAGCTTTATTATTGTAATAAATACAATTTTTTAAAATGGGGAAGCTGTTGGAGTTGAAGCAAAAATAATTTGGAGAATATGACTTTTGTTTCTCCATTTTGAAAAAAATTTTAGGAAAGCTGTTGGAGATGCTCTTAGCATCAGCACTTGCTGACCAAATGAAATCATACATCAAAAATTTCTAACAAGGCGTAATTGCACTTTAAGTACCCTGTAGTTTCCCCAGCATTGCACTTATACACCCTCATTTAAATTTTCCACTCAGTACCCTCGCTTGTTTTGGCAATACTTACGTACTCTAAAGTTATAAAAACTCGTACTTAAATACCCTCAAATATACAAACTTGAGGCTATTTGCGTGCAAATTTAAAAAAACTTTAGGGTATATAAACGCTGCCAAAACAAGCGAGGGTATGTAAGTGTGACCTTTAAAAAAACTTTAGGGTACACGAGTGCTACCAAAAACAAATGAAGATAATATAAGTAAGTGCAACATAGTTGAAACTAAAGGGCATGCAAGTGCGATTAAGCCTTCTAACAAGTAGCTGGTCGGCGATATGTGAAAATTCTTTTAGTTTTAGGTCATGAAAAAGGCTATAGAACCAGCTAATAAGATTTCAAGCATCAGTAGCATTGGATTCTCCCAGTCAAATTTGCCGCTTGCTTCTGAATGTCAAAAGTACTCTCCATAGTCTACTCATCGAGCAGCAGTCCAAAAGTTCGGTGGTGATGACACTTCAAAAAGATTTAAAACTTTTTTTCTCCCCCACAATGGGTTCAGCTCTGAATCAACTGACAACAGTGCCTTGCCAATAGCATAACTATTACCACTCATTGGTCCTCCTGTAATTGTTGTGCTGTCACATGTGAGATGTGTAAGAGATTGCTCCTCTTTTTCTCTTTTGTGCTCAGAATGATAGGGTACTGAATCATAGCAGTCTGCAGGGATTGTTGGCCCCCATAACTGGAAATAAATTCATCATAAAAAAAAGTAGGATATATAATGATGCATATTGAATGAAGATGATAAAGTTTCAGTGGTTTTTAGACTTTAAATTGTTAAACGAAAGAGTTATGTTAACTGAAAAAAACAATGTTCATAATATTCATAAACCACTAAATATTGACACTTATACAATAATTAGCACTTATGCAATAGTAGATGGTTCAATATTTTTTTTGTTCTTTTTTAGCAACTCTGCAATGTAATCAATGATCAACTATCATAACATGAAAGTATATGACCAATGGACAACTATGTTTGAAAACCAGCTCAACGACTTTTATCGTGAAAAAGTTAGGCATATGAAAGCAAAACTCAATTTATTATGCTGACAGACAAGAAAAGGAAATCGAAAGTTCTTCAGTTCAGTAAGTCAAAAGATAGTGAACTAACAAAAGCAAATTGAATTTCAGTTTCCCCCCTTTTAAAAAAAAAAAAAAATCCTCACTTCAGAATTTTTAGAATCTTGAAAACTCCTACAAACATACCCTTACATATCCAAACATTAATACTTTTCACTTTGATAATGGATATTTAACAATCAGATGAAAATTCTTCAGTCTTTTAATGAACAGATCTATGGTATGAGGGGTTTAATTGTCTAAGGCTCAAAGTACCAAATATTCATGGATCGCATGAAGAAAAGAACCAGTTAAGCTTCTAAATTGGAAACACACAAGTCTGGACATCCAGTTACATCATCAACAATCACTACTGAAAACTGTCAACCAAAGATATCTGAAATTGCACAGAAGCAACCTACACAAGCATCAGCTCCTTAAGTTAATAGGAGCGCCTTTAATTTCAGACTTTATTAAGAGAATAATTGCAATAGGTTATTAAAAAGGGCAGCCAAATTATGTTATGGGTAACCATATTTTTAGTCATAATGTCTTTTTTATTAGTCCATTGTGAACACCTGAAGAGTTGAGTTTCAGTCATGTAAAAGCCTACGGGAAAAAAATTAAAGTTCAACGGACGATATCTATCATGAAGCGTGTTTCAGCATAGTCTTAAGTATTAGCGTCAGCTGATTGGTGGAAGAAAAACAAAAGCAAGGAAGAAGGAAAAAAAAGAACAATAAATCACACCTGAATCAATAACCTCATGCTAATTAAGGTATCACTCCTTCAAAATTAGGATTTCACTCCCAAAACTGAACCACAAAACCTATAGTAACCATAATTTATTCATAACATCTTTATACCTCTATCGAATTAAAACTAGCCTTCATGCACTTATAAAAACTTAATGACCAAGAAATTAATTCCAAATAAGGAAAATTTCTAACAAAAGCTTTCCTGATTGGATCCTAAAAACTGCTAAAAACCAAAATTCTAACATATATTTATATATATATATATATATATATATATATATATATCCAACTTTTCTCTTCTTTAAACTATGTTCAGATCTTCAGATCTCAATGGCCAGAAGGAAAAAAAAGAACAATAAATCACACCTGAATCAATAACCTCATGCTAATTAAGGTATCACTCCTTCAAAATTAGGATTTCACTCCCAAAACTGAACCACAAAACCTATAGTAACCATAATTTATTCATAACATCTTTATACCTCTATCGAATTAAAACTAGCCTTCATGCACTTATAAAAACTTAATGACCAAGAAATTAATTCCAAATAAGGAAAATTTCTAACAAAAGCTTTCCTGATTGGATCCTAAAAACTGCTAAAAACCAAAATTCTAACATATATTTATATATATATATATATATATATATATATATATATCCAACTTTTCTCTTCTTTAAACTATGTTCAGATCTTCAGATCTCAATGGCCAACCTTAACCGTCCTCTACCTAAATCCCTAGGGACTCTGGACCCTTGTATTCCTGCAACCTAATAGTGCATCTTACGTCCTCTTCAATCGCATTCAGAGAAATAGTTGAAGGTACACCCAACGTGTGTGCTATCAAACTCCCAGAAATAGTGTACGAGATAGAGAGTTCCATCAAAGATGAGCACGTCTCAATCAGTTATGCATTACTATCTATTATCTACCACCTCTAACTTAAAAAGCACAACCTCAAAATTAGCTTCCATTCTACATCAAACACTATTCTTGGTACAGTATTCTTGGTACAGTACGATTCAGAATATTAAAATCACTGTTCATACTAGATAACATTTTCTTCTTCTCGGCACACTATTAGCGTGTAAACGATTTCCCCGTGAACACTGTTCATGCTATAGTATAATTTTTGGATCTTACGCCTACTCTGTATGCTACAGTAAATTTTTTGGGTCATTTTCTCTACTCTTTAGGCTGAAGTAATATTTTTTTAACCTTAAAATCAGTACTCATAATACCCACAACAGGGCGAGCTTAATACTAATAGTATTAAGGAGAGTTTTTTTAAAAGAGATCAATTTTAAAAAATATTTAGCAAAAACGACTATTATGCTAAATATTTAGCAAAATCGATCTCTTTTTTGCCGTCTCACAAAGGCTGGTCAAAAAGAGGTCGATTTTGCAAAATGTGGGTTTCAAAATACACGGGACTAACAGACTACTCGTCCCGTGTGTTTAAGGCTGGCTAATCAGCCACTTAATACACCACATAATTCTCACGAGAATAGTAGTCCCGTGAGTTTTCAATAGCAAAAAACACAAGCTCCAGACCCTCGTGTGATGCGGAGGCGCTAGAGAAGGGAGTTGGTGAGGAGGTCGAGGAGGGAGAAGAGGCAGTAAGAGGTGGCGACGAAGGGGTCTTGGCCGAGGAAGAGCATGAGGGGGCCGAGGTTGATCCAAATGAGGGAGATTGTGACGACCTCAAAAACTCAGGAAGACAACCTCAAAACCCAAGCCTCCAGACCCTGGACGAGCTCCGATCCCTCCTCTTGCTCGCCCTCCCCGTCACCACCATGAACCTGGTCGTTTACCTTCGCACCCTCACCTTCGTTCTCTACCTCCTCGGTCCCCTCACCCTCGCCGACTGCATCCTCTCCATCGGCTTCACAAACATCACCGACTACTCCGTCCTCTTCAGCCTAGCCTTCGGCCTTGAGCCCCTTTGCTCTTAGTCCTTCAGCTCCAAGAACTAGGACCTTGATGTGGGGTCCTTATAGTCAGAGTTGAGACAGATCTTGATGTTGGCAGCGTTCGGGATCGTCGATGATGACGACATAGAGATGAAGAACCAACTCTAAACCCTAGAAGAAGACGACAACAACATCAAAGAGGAAGAAGAATTGGAGGATAGAGAGGTGGCAGGGGGACTTTGATTTGGTTTGGTGAGAGAATTGAAGAAGTGGAGAGGGTTTTGCTTTGCTCTGATTAACTAGAGCTAAACACTTGGGACTAGTAGTCCCGTGTGTTTTGAAGCCCACATTTTGCAACATCGACATCTTTTTGGTCAACCTTGATGAGCTGGCCCAAAAGAGGTCGATTTTGCTAAATATTTAGCAAAATGGTCGATTTTGCTAAATATTTTTTAAAATCCGCCTCTTTTAAAATTTTCTCCTAGTATTAAAGCAAGCAATTGTATCCTTCTCTTTTTCTTCAAGCCTCATTCAGTGATTTAACAATCGTGGCAACGTCTTTCTACAATTTCATTTGCTATCGAAAACTTTAAAATGTTTAATTGTAAAAGTTGTCCTGAGATTGAATTAATACTTGCCTCCATACCTGCTCAACTCCAGGATTTGTTATAGGGACATCACTGTAAATTTGACCAGGTGGCTAAAGAAAAACTCCTGGGCTAAGAATGACTTGGTTCATTTATTTAATCTACTAAGTATAAGGTCTCTCTGAATGTCTATCAAAATCATGAAAATATGCGACATTTCATCAATTGGGAAAATTTAACATGAAATCCATGAGGGAGTTTAGATAGGCTACTAAATTCTAGTATCCAAAATGTGGAAAGAATAGATCCAAAATTTACAATTTGGATTTTCAAATTGAATTTCCGCACCACTGAATTAGATGTGATGTAATACACATGGACTTTTGCAAACAAATCATTCAATGATTTTGATATGTTTTTAATCATGTAATAAGGAAAAAATATTCAACTTTATAAAACTTCTGAAATGTAAGTTTTTCCAACACACTATGCATGTTAAAACACATTGGAAATCATCCGAGATTGGATTTGAAGTAGATCATATCCAAGTATCCAACGAATACAGACTTGCAATTTAGAAATCTAAAATTTAAATTTGGATCCATAGTATAGCATCTTCATGGTATTATTAATATATAACAGGCAAAGGATGTACTTCTAGACAATAATCTAATGATCGTTATAGTAGTTGAGCGCTAAAATTATCTTATGGGGTCCTAATCAAGCTAAATAAATGATATTTCACTATCATTTTCCTTTTAATGGTTCACATATTTGCATGGCCAATCCTAGTAAAAAGAACGATCATGTTTGAATAAATTACATAACCATAGAAATTGCTTCATTTAATATGGTCAAAAGGGAAATGTAGGAACCCCTCAAAATTGTTAGACTTTAAATAATAAACAATAAAAACTGCGTACTAATTTTAGTCAGATAAAAACATGCTCTAGATCCAGCAGTTGTCGCACACTTGGTACCAAAAGATTAAGATAAACTTAGGATAAACTTACTAGAAAGAATAAGATTTTTCATATGCTGCATTCAAGTTTCTCACTTTTATAAGGTTATAATTATAAATGATTATTTATTGCAACTATATATCCTATCTCAAAATTTTATAAATGTAAGATTTATATGAAGGGAAAACTGCTTCTAACCCCCAAAATCAAAAAGGAAATTACCCCACCCCCAATTCTTGGTCAACAAGCCAAAATCCCCAAAAAATAGCTCTTTTTTGCTTGTAAACCCGCAGGCCTAGTGCCACCTAAGCAATACTCTTTTATTCCCCAATATACCCCTAATTAATGCCCATGTGAGCTGCTTTCTCTCTCTCTCTCCCATTATCATCTTCCTCCTCTCTTCTCTTTACTCTCCCCACTCCATACCCATTACCAACAAGCTCTCATCCTCTCCTCTCTTCTCTCTCCCACTCCATGGCTATTAGCACAAGATCTCACCTCCTCTTTTTTCTCACTCCCTCCTTACTCCCCTCCGACTTCATATCTTTCTATCCTCTACCCTGCACCCTCTACCGTCCACCCCGTCCTACCTTATCACCTCCCTTGTTTCCTCCGCATAAGCCCACCACCCACTTCACCATCCTCAAACTCATCCCCACAATTTCTTTTCTTCTCCCTCTTAATCTCCTTCGGGCCCACCACCATTCATCCACCCTTATCTTCCCTCCTCAGGCAACATCATACATCCACTCCCTACCTCTCCTTCCTTCCTCCTCCAGCAACTCCTACCTCTACTTCTCCGAGCCCACCATCATACATCCACCCCCTATCTCCTCTCTATTCTCTCCTCCTCCGACTTCAAATCTCCAAATCCCCTCCCTTACTCTTTCTCCCGTCCACCCTCTCCTACCTCGTCACCTCCCTTGTCTCCTCCGCCTAGGCCCATCACCCCTCACTGCCCTCAAGCTCGTTCACATAATTTTCTTAATTTCCGTCTTAATCTCTCAAAACTAAGTTATGGGGATGGGTATGACATGACTTAACAACAAATGCGTAAACTTAACAACTAATAAAATAGGGTTGACAACAAATAGCTATGCTGAATAACTGATGAAAAAGCTTAACAGCAAATGCTTTAACTTAACAACCAACGTATAAGCGCTTAAGCTTAACAAATGCATAAGCTTCACAACCAATGCACAAGCTTAACAACTGACAGAAAAGCTTAACAACAAGCAAATAAGCTTAGTAACAAAGACATAAGCTTAACAACCAATACATAAGCTTAACGACTGAAGAAAAAGCTTAACAACCATTGTTTGTTAAGCTTTTGCGTTTGATGTTAAGCTTTTCATTGGTTGTTAAGCTTATTCATTGATTGTTAAGCTTATGCAATTGTTGTTAAGTTTGATTGTAAAGCTTTTGTATTTATTGTTAAGCTTTTTTATTACTTGTTAAATTTATGTATTAGTTGTTAAATTTTTTTGTTAGTCGTTAAGCTTATGCATTGATTGTTAATGCTTTTTCGTCGGTTGTTAAGCTTATTCATTGGTTGTTATGCTTTTGCGTCAGTTGTTATGCTTTTGCGTTGGTTGGTAAGCTCATGTGTTTGTTGTTAAGCCTTTTCATCAGTTAATCGATTGTTAAACTTATGCATTGGTCATTAAGAAAATACGTTTGTTAAGCTTTTTTGTCAGTTGTTAAGTCTATGCATTGATTGTTAAGCTTAAGCATTTGTTATTAAGCTTTTTCATCGGTTGTTCAGCGTATCTATTGATTGTTAAACTTATCTCATTAGGTGTTAAATTTATGCATTTGTTGTTAAGTCATACCGTAGTCTTCCCGTACCCTAATTTTGAGAGATTAAGAGGGAATTAAGAAGATTACGGAGACAAGTTTGAGGGCAAAAGGGTGATGGGCACGATGGACGAGACAAGGGAGGTGACGAAATAGGAGGGGGTCGACGGGATAGGGCAGAAGGGATGCGGAGATTTGAAATCAGCGGAGGAAAGGAAGAGGAGATAGTGAATAAATGTATGATGGTGGTCTCAAAGAAGCCGAAGTAGTGGTTGTAGGAGGAGGAGACGGGAAGGGAGCCGAGGTAGGAAATGGATATATGATGTTACTGAATGAAGAGGGAAGGGAGGGAAGATATGAGTGGATGTATGATGGTGGGCTAGAAGGAGATTAAGAGAGAAAAGAAGAGAAAATTTTTAGACGAGTTTGAGGGTGGTAATGGGGTGGTGGGCCCAGGCAAAAAAGACGAGGGAGGTGATTGTAGAATGAGGTGGACTATAAAGGGTATAGGGAAGAGGATAAAGAAATATGAAGTCGGAGGGGAGGAAGGGCAGAGTGAGAAAAAAAGAGAAGTGAGAGCTTATTGGTAATGGCTACGGAGTGGGGAGAGAAAAAAAAGGAGAGGAAAGAGAGAAACACACAACAAGCATTTGGGAGTTTTTAGCATGTTGATCAAGCCTTGGGGGTGAGGGGAATTCGCTTTTTAATTTTGGGGTGGAGAAGCGTTTTTATCTTATATGAAACACCTTCAGCTTGTACTAAGATCAAAAAGTTTCTTCTAAGCTCAAAAGAGGTATACACTTGTTACGATTTAAAATTTGGAAACGATTGTTCCAAAGGATATCTCCCTATCAAAATGCAAGAGTTAAATCACTTATAATTCCTAATGAAATTCAGAGCCTCGTGTCTGTCTTTTTTGTACACAGACATTGTACACAAATGCAAATCAAAGATAGATGCACTTAAATATCTGAATCTGAATTCAGTTACTGCCAGATAAACTCAAGTACCCAACACTACCAACTACCAAGTACAACATAAGTAACAACACATATCCTGTTTACCATAAACCCTATATCACATACCTCATTTTAAATTGTTATTATTGTATATATATTTCCATAAGAGTTCTCTCTTCCAGAACAATTACTAAATTGAATCTCATAATACCCTGTTTAGTGCCAATAAAGTTCATGCATTTCATCTTGTAGGATCTTTTAGTGTAAATAAATGAGGATTTTTTTTCTGACATTTTGATCCATTCTCACGGCTGTTTATAATAAAGAAATACTTTTAGAAAAACATAATCCATATCTACAAGTGTATACTCTCTATCAACGTGGATATGAATATGGGTAACACTCATATATGCTATAGCTATTTCCATTCAAACGGGTTTAAGAAATAAAATTGTAATTTTTTAAAAGAACTCTTCTGGCATATGTGAAACCATGCAGTCCGTAACTACGAAAAAGATGGAATTTTGCCAAGAGTTGAAATAGTCTCAAACAAGTTTGGAATTGGGAACTTTTTGTAAGCATTCTCTTACACTTAGCAAGTTGTGCAGGCTGCCTTGCTCACCTCGTACTATGGCAATTGAGCATTTGATGCTGCAAGAACATAAGAGGTCAGCAAGATGCGTCTCAAAGAAAATAAATCATGCGCAGTTTTATCATAGTTCCCTTCTCAATACATTGGATGCCAAACCCAGTCATTTATTTCCCTCTTCTTTTCTTTCATAAACTTAAAGAAATTGGCCCGAGAAAGAGGACATTTACTGAAGGTAAAGAAGGGCACATAAAATGCTGTCTCAATTAGGGATGTGAGGTTCTCTTCAGTTTTCAGTACTAACGTATCTGTTCTCTCATAAAATACTACTACCCGAGTCAATAGAAATCCGTAATTATGTTAATATCTGTATAATGGTAGACTGTTAGGCATGAATGCATCATCTGAAGACATATAGCCATACACATACAGTATGTATCAAATATCAGACCTGGATAACCCATGTATGTGTCAAATAATCATATAGACGCATTCCAAACATTCACAGGCGTTGTCATTGGGTTTCAAATATGCGTCATTGACAGAATTAGCAACAAGAATGCGTGACAATAAGCGATGGGAACCTATTATTTCACCTAAGGTATTACTTTATTAAAACAGTTAGAAGTTCAATAGTATATGCTTTTAAGTTTATAGAACTAAACACAACGGGCGTATCTTCCGATATGCACTCCTGCCAATGATGATCAAACATCCATCCAAACTACAACCTTCGGCGATCTTTTGTCGAAAACTTCGACCAATAATAAAAATTTACAAACAAATTTCAAATGCAATGAATCAAGAAGGGAAATAATAATAATAATAATAATAAGCTTTAAAAACTTACTCAAAATTTCAAGAAGCGGTGAGTGATGACCCCCTCCACGGCCCCCAAGCCGGCCCCGGCGACCACGTCCATAACAAAATGCCGCCCCATCAAAACCCTCGACGCCGCCGTCGCCGCCGCCCAAACAAAAACCGCAGCAACAACCCCGTCCCCGGCCCCACCAACCAAAAACAGAAACGAAGCGACGAAGAAAACCCTAGAAGAGTGGCCGCTGGGAAAAGACCAGTGATCAACGGCGACGACGAGGCTCATGTCGCGGTTGTAGACTGGGCGAGGTCGGCGGACGAGGAATTTGAGGGCGCCGACGAAGGCGATGTCGAGGAGGAGGCCGAGGAGGAGGGAGACGAAGAGGAGGGAGGAGGAGGAGAAGGGGAGGAGGGAGATGCGAGATCGGGAAACAGAGGCGGCCGTCGCCGGACGATTTCTCAACGGGTTTTGAGGATTGGCGGGGGAGGAACGGAGAGATCGTGGAGGAGGAGAGGACGGCCGGCATTCGAAGACGATTAGTCGTTCCGAGGAGGTTAGAGGAGGCTCTGCATCGCCGGCGACGGCGGATAACGGTGGTCGTATCGCCCCGCATTGTGAGATTTTGAGAATGTCGGCGTCGGAATTTTTTTTTTTGGGAAAAACTTCCGTGGTGTCGAATAAATAGGCTGAAAACGGGCTGGAGTTGGGCTTGAATAAGTTTTAGCCCAGCCTGTTGCTCGCGCCAATTTGAACTCTGAGATGTCACTAGTCTGTTAATCTCAAGGGGTTTTTTTTCTTAAATGCCCTGACCTTTTGTCATATTAGCCCCCCTCGATTCATCAGTATTTTGTATTAGACCCCCGACTCTTTCTGTTTCGAAACTACTCCCAGAGCACTACATTTGGGACGAAAAGAAGAAACATTCATGAGCAGCCCATCATGGTGAAGAGTTGTTGACAAAATCCTCAAACGTTAAACTAGTATTATTATATGTAGGGGTTTCTTGCCTATGTACCTCAAAATCTACCCTATTTTGAAATCTAACCTCCAAAATCTGATTACAAGCAAGGAAAATAATACCAGTATATATTTTAATATATGAGAGTTCTGATCATATTAATACAAAATAAGTAGGATTGTAGAAGATAAATAAACAGAAGCTTCGCGATCCAAAAAGGATACCAAATTGGAAATGAAACCTCATACACTAAAATGCAATCTTGCGTACATAAGGGGATTAAAAAGACAGCGCTACAATCAAAATTTACTTCACAAAATAGAACTCTTGATGGGTGGAAGGAGATAAATAAACGTGCATAGAAGTATTTATGTAAATAAATCCATGTCAGCGAGCTTCCACAATAATGAACAATGGCTTGCCACTTAATCTCTCACGCCCCTGCACGTTTCAGTTCAGACAGCACACGATATAGATGACTGAATTACTTACCTACTCATTAACAACATCATGTACCAATAATAATAGGTGTTAAGTTGCAGATAGACCCCTTGTAGTATCATTGTTTCGAAACTTCCTAGCCCTCGAGTTTTATCGTCGTAGATAAACACCCGGAGCGAAATTTTCTGACTCTTTCACCCTCTTGTAGTATCATTGTTTCGAAACTTCCTAGCCCTCGAAGTTTTATCGTCGTAGATAAACACCCGGAGCGAAATTTTCTGACTCTTTCACCCTCAGGGGGTCTATAATTGTCAAAACTATAGTTCTTTCTCCGAGGACCAAAACAAAAAAGTTCAAAAAGAAAATTGCCGGCGGGGGGGGGGCGCGGTTCAACTAGAGGGGTAGTAAGTTCGAGTGAGTATCATACTACAGGGAGGTCTGCCCACAGTTAACCGGAATAGTACTGAGTTGAACTACAATCCACTAAAGTTAGGCGGACAAGAGCCCCTATGCGCCCTATGCGCTTTGGATTGTAGATCAACTCTAAATATAAATAATTAATAACATTATTATGCGCGGAAAACAATTACAAAGTATTTACAACACACCTTAAGTTCAGGCAGTTCAATCACACAGGCACACTCTACAACTTCAGCCCCTACGCGCTCTGGAAGGAAAAAAAACAATTAACAGAATATTTAGCCCCCAGATTGTTTTTAGTAATAGATGCTGATTAGCTCAAGTATGATCTAGTAGAGTAAAATAGCTAATTAAGTTTAGAAGATTTTACAACCCGACAATTAAAAAAGTTTTTAAATGTTGCAAATATCCCCTTGAAAAATTTTACAGACAAAACTTTTAAAATATCTAGAAGTAGCCCATGAATGTCGTGAAAATAACAAACACCCACGCTGAAAATTTTAAAATATTACAAAGAACTCCCTAAAAAAATTACGAACAACCCCCATAAAAATTTCATAAAGTTACAAACAACTACATACCAAGCAAATTTATAGCCGCACATCAGAGTCTGCACCCGGGTTTGCCCAATCCAACTCATCAACTACTATAAAACGCGCTCACCAGGGCTGAACCGCGCCAGATGTGCATCTCAAGACAGTCTGTTCCATATTCGAGAACATATTCTTCCGAGATTACTTCACCTACACATTTGACAACATATATCCAAAACATAATCTTCACTACAGCACGTAAAAGACCCGTGATTGCCAAATCATAGTGAACACGGATAACTCGCATTAAGAGAGACTAATTTAGATAGACCTCGAGGATTACCTCCATTTCACAGGGATCACAGGCGTATTCCATCAACCAATGACTTAAATATTTTATAAATAAAGATGTTACTTTGACACATTATCTGTCGTGGGTGGTTAATTGCACATACAGTCCCGTAGTTTTCACCATATTGCAACATAGAGCATATCCATTCATGCCCCCCCCCCCCCCCCCCCCCCCCTAAAAAAAAATGCCTGTTTTTGCCAAACAAGGAATGACATCAAATGTACTTGTGGAACAGAAGCAAGAAATTTGTTAAAACACAGAAAGGGCGGTGGCTTCGGAGAAAAAGGCCAGCATTTTGAAGCAAAAACAGACACATAAAAGTGAAACTAGTATCCTTTCCAGATTTATCACTATTTGTTCAGAAGTGCCGCTTCAGGTCAAAGATGGTGCTTTTTCGTGCTGTTGATGGGGACAGGCAAATGAAATTTAATTATATGGGGCCTTTTAGGATTTCAGAAAGTCCTGCAAAGTTTATCAAACTTCACCCCCCACAAAATGGCACAACCTATCCATGTGGAGGTGACAAATAATGGTACGTACTAAGAATATTAACGAGAAAGTACTCTTAATACTTATGGTCATAAATCATCACCATGTGAGAATACCCCTACACAGGTATTTTGGCTTTTCTTCTCCCTCTTATATATATAACCAGTCACTAGCTTTATATTTTAATTAACTAATTATATTTTTTTTATAGTATCTTCAAAATCCAAGAGTTCGATTTTCATATTTATCTTAGATTTTCATATTTCACATATGATAAGATACTCTTAGCACTCATGGCCATAAATACATAAAACATAATGCATTCAAAATAAATAAATAACATACATGACAGAGTTTTGTTCTGCCATGAAAACCCAGTCCTTGAATTTTTGAAGAGACGTTCAAAATTTTAATGATGTCAAAGTTGTTTATGGGGTGTTTGTTTCACCACAAATTTTGGCATTTGGTATGGATTATAAGTTTTGGTATCAAAAAGTGAGTTTTTTTGTATTTTGGTATTCCATATATGCGTTTGTTTTAAGAAAATTTTCGGAATATTGAATCCTAAAAGTGCAAAAAATGCCCAATTTTTAGAATTTGCCAAATCCTCTCAATTGGAAAGGATTTTGACAAATCCTATAAATGGGTGTGTTTACCTCTCAATTGGAAAGGATTTGACAAATCTCAATTTTGTCTTTTTGTGGGAGGTAACCTCACCAAGATAGCATATTCATCATATTACAAAATTTTAGCATTTGGTAATGCTACAATTTGAGCTTGAAAAAAAAAATATTACAAATTGTAGTATTCCAAATCCCAAAATATTAATGAAACAAACAACATTTTAGAAATCCCAACTCATAACAAACACCAATGGATTTCAAATCCTATGGTGAAATCCATATCCTAAAATTATAGGATTTGAAACAAACACCCGTTTATGGGAAAACAAAAAATAGTACTTTCATGCAGGCAAAGGGGCTACCCAAATAAAAATTAGACATGGGGTTTTAGGATTTCGGAAACAACAACGTTTAACAAACTTCACCCAGGAAAATGTCACAATAGATCTATGTAAAGGTGACAAATAAGGGTACAAAGAAAATAAATTGTCGCCATGTTAGAATATTTTTTTGGCTTTCCTTCTCCCTCTTATATTACCGTTCACTAGCATGAAAATGTTAGATCAATGTGAAAGGAGAGCTTCATACAAGGATCATTAAGTTGCACAATATATCGTTCGTACCTGGCAACTTTCTTGGTTTCCTCAGCGGTACAAACTTTGCGCCGATCGCTAGTGCAATGGGAGGGCCAAAGATAAAACCTCTAGCCTCAACTCCTGTAAAACCCAGCAGGAAATTATATATAAAAGTGTCATTTAACACAAGTATTAAATGTAGAATTAATTTTTGATATTAAATCTAAACGTTCTTACCCATATTTAAATATCATATAAAAATTATTAATTTGCCCAATTAAACATTATAAAAAAAAGAGGGATTTACCCGCGGCCTTGTAGTGGTAAGGCTAGAAAACAGACGTATAAACTAGAATTGTGCTGTCAATTTCTGATATAATAAGCTTAGTGGTAGGCGTAGGTCAAAATGATAGCAATAACAACATTTGAAGCATGGGCTTACTTTATTCAATTGGTTTCATTCTGATACCAACGCCTTTATATAATCCCACCAAGTGGATGAAAAATAAAGATTGCCCATCAATATGAAACTACATCAGAAAACAGCCCAGCAATAATAGTTTTTTTTCACATTTTCAGGCAACTTTCAGCAAATCTTCTCTAGGTTATACAATCAAATTATCAAATTTTCTCTTGTCCGAAAGAATCAGATAATCAACACATAGAAATAAGACATTTCAACTTTTAGATTACTCATTATAGCGATCTAACATTCACAAAATTTGGTCAAAATCATCCAAACCCTGCTCACGTGAAGACTTTAATACATTAGCATTCAGTTTCAGGCAAAATTATTTTCTACACGAAGAACAAGAGCACTTACAAGCAGTAATAATAGATGATAACTTTGTTACGCTAATAGCACCATAATAAAAAGGTACCCCAAAATAACAGGGTCTGGGGGGGGGGGGGGGCGAATCACAAACATTTATCAACAGCTTCTTGTACAGCAACTTATCATCAATACAAGACTCCAAAGTCACAACCACAACCCCAATTTATTTTCTACAAAAATACAAAAACAAACAGCTTATTACTACAAGCCAGAAGTAGTAAAATATATGATCATTTTTGTGAAAATAAAAAATTTCCAATAATTGCACATAAAACATTGGACATAACTGTGATCAATTAGAACCCCAACCCCAACCAAAACCTCCCCACAGAATATGCCGTCCAAAAATTCAAGAACTAAACAGTAAAACAACATCAAAATATAGGGCTCTAATATTTATATGAACCCAAACTTTTAGCGTCATTTATTTTTAAACCACCCGCTTACAAAATCATCTTATACCCAATATTGAATTATTTTTAAACTCGGCTATAGTAGTTTAAACCCATAGCTACAGGCACATCAAACATAACTTAAATCAATACGTAGCTGCTCATACACCAAATGTAGCACAACTGAAACTTAAAAAAAAAAATCAAAATTGCAACTTCTCCAAAGAAAAATTTCAAGTAAATTGACAGGATGTCCACAGGGTAAAAGCCATCATCATTGAGACTGTACCAAAGTCAAAATCAGCCGTCCCATACCAAAAAAGTTCGTCAACTTGCAATGATGATCTCACTGGGACCCCCAATCGACATTTGGAAAGACAGCAATTTTCATTTTAATCACATAAGCCCCTAAAAATTCGTAAATTTATGAATTTTCAAAAAAAAAATTATAAAAAGAAAAATTACCAGCAACCACAGAGATACTCTTCCCAATGTATCGCTCCACAAACAAATCCACGGTATCCTTGAACGCCTGCGGATCGAGCAGCAGGGTGGTGATATCTTGAAACATTATACCTTAATTCCACCAAAAGGGTTTCATTAAAACTCCAAATTGAACAGACCCACGTCATCAAAATTCGATCTTGATGAACGAAATTGGAGACCGGAGGGAGTTATGGTACCTGGCTTTGGGAAGTTGGGCACGACTCTGATGGAGGATGCGATGCGCTCATTGCGCTCGTCCTTCTCCGCCATTGCTCCGCAGATGAGGGAGAAAATAGTTTCTCTCCCGAGGGTTTTAGAGAGAGAGAGAGAGAGAGAGGTGAAAAATGCAGAAGAACGAAGCGGGAGGGATTATTTATAGAGAGAGAGAGAGAGAGAGAGAGAGAGAGAGAGAGAAGTGGGGGCAAGAGGAATCAGGACGCAAAAGATCTCTTCTACTTTTCAACCTTGTACTGTTTCGCTTTAAAGAGACCGTATCTTTAATGGGTTAATTTAAAAAAAACACCAGGGGTTGTTGCTGGAGGAAGAGAGTAATGAGAACTCTCACCCTAAAAACAAGCTAGTAGGAGGGAATCCTAATATCTTATAAACTCATATCAAGTCGCTCACATAATCGATATGGGACTAAACAGATCATAACATATCATCACGCTTTTGATCCTGACACTCACGTTGGCTGGTTGTGCACTCGTCTAGTCTCCGGTGAACAAGGCAATCCTGGCATCACTCATTTGGCTTTGCAATAACCTATTCCCCGGTGTTGGTGTGTTAGGGGCCGTTTAATCTCACATCGGTTATATGATTGACTTGATGTTTGTTTATAAGGGTTTGGGTTTCCTCCCTCTACAAGCTAGCTTTTAGGGGTGAGCTCTCCTGAACCCTTACAAGTGGTATCAGAGCAAGCGATTGTCGAGGAGACCAAATGCAATGAGTCTCACAGAAGCAAGATAAATCGTCTCAAAAGCATGGTAGAGTAGCAAGGAGTATACCTGAAGACTTTGAGCGAAAGGATCAATGGGCTATCACATATGGTAATTAGAATATATTCACAAATTAGTGGACTAGTGGAGCAGTTTGATAAGATAGTCGACGATAATGTCAAGGCACCACACAAAATCAATTTTGGACTCTCCACCAGAACTTTATGCAAATGCATCACTACCGTGGGTCTAAATGCAACAACCAATGTATTATCCATTTTCTAAAACATATCAACTACGATGATGACTAACTCGGGACCACCAGCAAATTGTAGAGTGGATTTCCCTCTAGACACCAGCAAGAACATCCACGGTTGGATCTATCGTGTGTGTCAACTTTTGGATTTCTACTCCATACCAGAAAAACATGCGCTCAGCCTTTGATGAGGAAGGTGATGGAGGACAAGATTGGGGTTTGTTAAATCGTTTGGGGCTGCAAGGATACCGAAAATCCAACTTGGTTAGGGGGGGGGGGGGGGGGGCAATTGTCAGATTGTCGACGCTAAATAAGCCCAACATACCTGTTTGAGATGTGGGCATCGGGTAACTAACTAAATGTTAGTGTTGATACCAGTTATCGAACAGGGGGTTTATTTATGGATTAAAGTTGAGTTAGGGTCCTCAAACTCCTTCAGATAACTAGCTTTGTAGATCATTGTTCATTAAAGTTGAGTTAGGGTCCTCAAACTCCTTCAGATAACTAGCTTTGTAGATCATTGTTCTTTCTTACACATGAAGAACTTGTGAGAGGCCAGAGTTGGGCTCACCGGTTGTTCCTCTGACAATCAAGTCAGTGCTTGAACTTGAGTAGGAATAAGAGAAATAGTGAGAGAACTTGTTCAAAGTTGCATGAAAGTAGAAGAAGTTAAGAAGTTATCTTATATAGTGCAGCTCTCTTTTATAGTAGATCAGAAGGGCAAAGAGGTAACTTTGACCGAGTACAAACATGCAGCTAACTCGGCAAATGTCTCTATAGGTGTTAACTGCTGAAGTGGGTGAGTCATCCTTGATTGGACGTGAGGATGATCGAGGGGGGTTGGTGAGTGATGAGTCATGAGAACTTGTGGCACCAAGTGTGATGAGGAGGAGCAGCTATTGGTGTGGAGTTCGAGGATGCACCGCCTCTTTATTCGGCTCTACGAGTAAGAAGACTAGTATCGCCTTTTTAGTCGGTCTTGAGAGTTGTTGGCTAAGATAGTGGGTCGAGTGTGGAGGCCTGTTGGCTTGATCTAATAGGTAGGTCGGCAAGCACCACATTTCGAGTCGGTCATGTAAATTATCGACCTATGGAGTCGACCGTAGGAGCAGTTCGAGTCTTCTGCGGTCGACTCGTCTAGGCTCTGATCATGTCCGATCTGGTGTGGAGCGGCATGCATGTCGACAACTCAAGAAAGATTAATACTTAGTTATTTGCAGGCTATAACAGTTGATGTTAGTTATCAAACAGGGGGTTTATTTGTGGATTAAAGTTGATTTAGGGTACTCAAACGCCTTTGGATGACTGGCTCTATAGATCATTGTTCTTCCCTGCACATGAAGAAGTTGTGAGAGATTGTAGTTGGATTCTCCGGTTGTTCCTTCGACGATTAAGTCGGCATTTGAACTTGAGTGGGAAAATATAAGAAAATAGTGAGAGGACTTGTTTCAGAGTTGCATGAAAGCAGAAGAAGTTATCTCATGCAGTGAAACTCCCTTTTATAGTAGATCATGAGGATAGAAAGGTAACTTTGGCTGAGTACAGACAGACAACTGACTCGACAGATGTCTCTATAGGTGTTGGTTGCTAAGGTGGGAGAGTCATCCTTGATTGGAGACTCGGCAGAAAATAATTAAGGGGCTCCAAGCACATCGCAACAAGTAGTCGGCTATGATTACTAAGCTTAAGGAGGAAGTCGGCCACCTCCAACACGACATTCTTGAGAGGGACGATAGAATTAGGTATCTGTCTGAAGAGGAGGCTGATAAGCGTGAGAGGCTTAATGCTCAGGAATGTGCTTAGTCGGATCGCCTGGTTGCCCGGGGATTAAAGGTCGAACTGGAGGAGGAGCAGCAGGCTAACAAGAAGCTTAGGAAGGATAGCATTTCAGGCTGCTCTAGGGACCAAGCAATAGCGCGAGTCATCTCTCGCTAAGGTCTGGTCTCTACAAGCTCGCTTTGCTTTTCTAGAGTCTGAGGCCTATCGGGGGAAGTTGTGGAGAAATACTGTGACATCCCCCTAGGCAAGGTAGAAGTGGCTCTGGCTTGCAAAATTGGCTTCGACTTCCTGCTTGGGTTGCTAATTTTCACAGCTTCTTGTACAGCAACTTATCATCAATACAAGACTCCAAAGTCACAACCACAACCCCAATTTATTTTCTACAAAAATACAAAAACAAACAGCTTATTACTACAAGCCAGAAGTAGTAAAATATATGATCATTTTTGTGAAAATAAAAAATTTCCAATAATTGCACATAAAACATTGGACATAACTGTGATCAATTAGAACCCCAACCCCAACCAAAACCTCCCCACAGAATATGCCGTCCAAAAATTCAAGAACTAAACAGTAAAACAACATCAAAATATAGGGCTCTAATATTTATATGAACCCAAACTTTTAGCGTCATTTATTTTTAAACCACCCGCTTACAAAATCATCTTATACCCAATATTGAATTATTTTTAAACTCGGCTATAGTAGTTTAAACCCATAGCTACAGGCACATCAAACATAACTTAAATCAATACGTAGCTGCTCATACACCAAATGTAGCACAACTGAAACTTAAAAAAAAAAATCAAAATTGCAACTTCTCCAAAGAAAAATTTCAAGTAAATTGACAGGATGTCCACAGGGTAAAAGCCATCATCATTGAGACTGTACCAAAGTCAAAATCAGCCGTCCCATACCAAAAAAGTTCGTCAACTTGCAATGATGATCTCACTGGGACCCCCAATCGACATTTGGAAAGACAGCAATTTTCATTTTAATCACATAAGCCCCTAAAAATTCGTAAATTTATGAATTTTCAAAAAAAAAATTATAAAAAGAAAAATTACCAGCAACCACAGAGATACTCTTCCCAATGTATCGCTCCACAAACAAATCCACGGTATCCTTGAACGCCTGCGGATCGAGCAGCAGGGTGGTGATATCTTGAAACATTATACCTTAATTCCACCAAAAGGGTTTCATTAAAACTCCAAATTGAACAGACCCACGTCATCAAAATTCGATCTTGATGAACGAAATTGGAGACCGGAGGGAGTTATGGTACCTGGCTTTGGGAAGTTGGGCACGACTCTGATGGAGGATGCGATGCGCTCATTGCGCTCGTCCTTCTCCGCCATTGCTCCGCAGATGAGGGAGAAAATAGTTTCTCTCCCGAGGGTTTTAGAGAGAGAGAGAGAGAGAGAGGTGAAAAATGCAGAAGAACGAAGCGGGAGGGATTATTTATAGAGAGAGAGAGAGAGAGAGAGAGAGAGAGAGAGAGAAGTGGGGGCAAGAGGAATCAGGACGCAAAAGATCTCTTCTACTTTTCAACCTTGTACTGTTTCGCTTTAAAGAGACCGTATCTTTAATGGGTTAATTTAAAAAAAACACCAGGGGTTGTTGCTGGAGGAAGAGAGTAATGAGAACTCTCACCCTAAAAACAAGCTAGTAGGAGGGAATCCTAATATCTTATAAACTCATATCAAGTCGCTCACATAATCGATATGGGACTAAACAGATCATAACATATCATCACGCTTTTGATCCTGACACTCACGTTGGCTGGTTGTGCACTCGTCTAGTCTCCGGTGAACAAGGCAATCCTGGCATCACTCATTTGGCTTTGCAATAACCTATTCCCCGGTGTTGGTGTGTTAGGGGCCGTTTAATCTCACATCGGTTATATGATTGACTTGATGTTTGTTTATAAGGGTTTGGGTTTCCTCCCTCTACAAGCTAGCTTTTAGGGGTGAGCTCTCCTGAACCCTTACAAGTGGTATCAGAGCAAGCGATTGTCGAGGAGACCAAATGCAATGAGTCTCACAGAAGCAAGATAAATCGTCTCAAAAGCATGGTAGAGTAGCAAGGAGTATACCTGAAGACTTTGAGCGAAAGGATCAATGGGCTATCACATATGGTAATTAGAATATATTCACAAATTAGTGGACTAGTGGAGCAGTTTGATAAGATAGTCGACGATAATGTCAAGGCACCACACAAAATCAATTTTGGACTCTCCACCAGAACTTTATGCAAATGCATCACTACCGTGGGTCTAAATGCAACAACCAATGTATTATCCATTTTCTAAAACATATCAACTACGATGATGACTAACTCGGGACCACCAGCAAATTGTAGAGTGGATTTCCCTCTAGACACCAGCAAGAACATCCACGGTTGGATCTATCGTGTGTGTCAACTTTTGGATTTCTACTCCATACCAGAAAAACATGCGCTCAGCCTAAATAAGCCCAACATACCTGTTTGAGATGTGGGCATCGGGTAACTAACTAAATGTTAGTGTTGATACCAGTTATCGAACAGGGGGTTTATTTATGGATTAAAGTTGAGTTAGGGTCCTCAAACTCCTTCAGATAACTAGCTTTGTAGATCATTGTTCATTAAAGTTGAGTTAGGGTCCTCAAACTCCTTCAGATAACTAGCTTTGTAGATCATTGTTCTTTCTTACACATGAAGAACTTGTGAGAGGCCAGAGTTGGGCTCACCGGTTGTTCCTCTGACAATCAAGTCAGTGCTTGAACTTGAGTAGGAATAAGAGAAATAGTGAGAGAACTTGTTCAAAGTTGCATGAAAGTAGAAGAAGTTAAGAAGTTATCTTATATAGTGCAGCTCTCTTTTATAGTAGATCAGAAGGGCAAAGAGGTAACTTTGACCGAGTACAAACATGCAGCTAACTCGGCAAATGTCTCTATAGGTGTTAACTGCTGAAGTGGGTGAGTCATCCTTGATTGGACGTGAGGATGATCGAGGGGGGTTGGTGAGTGATGAGTCATGAGAACTTGTGGCACCAAGTGTGATGAGGAGGAGCAGCTATTGGTGTGGAGTTCGAGGATGCACCGCCTCTTTATTCGGCTCTACGAGTAAGAAGACTAGTATCGCCTTTTTAGTCGGTCTTGAGAGTTGTTGGCTAAGATAGTGGGTCGAGTGTGGAGGCCTGTTGGCTTGATCTAATAGGTAGGTCGGCAAGCACCACATTTCGAGTCGGTCATGTAAATTATCGACCTATGGAGTCGACCGTAGGAGCAGTTCGAGTCTTCTGCGGTCGACTCGTCTAGGCTCTGATCATGTCCGATCTGGTGTGGAGCGGCATGCATGTCGACAACTCAAGAAAGATTAATACTTAGTTATTTGCAGGCTATAACAGTTGATGTTAGTTATCAAACAGGGGGTTTATTTGTGGATTAAAGTTGATTTAGGGTACTCAAACGCCTTTGGATGACTGGCTCTATAGATCATTGTTCTTCCCTGCACATGAAGAAGTTGTGAGAGATTGTAGTTGGATTCTCCGGTTGTTCCTTCGACGATTAAGTCGGCATTTGAACTTGAGTGGGAAAATATAAGAAAATAGTGAGAGGACTTGTTTCAGAGTTGCATGAAAGCAGAAGAAGTTATCTCATGCAGTGAAACTCCCTTTTATAGTAGATCATGAGGATAGAAAGGTAACTTTGGCTGAGTACAGACAGACAACTGACTCGACAGATGTCTCTATAGGTGTTGGTTGCTAAGGTGGGAGAGTCATCCTTGATTGGAGACTCGGCAGAAAATAATTAAGGGGCTCCAAGCACATCGCAACAAGTAGTCGGCTATGATTACTAAGCTTAAGGAGGAAGTCGGCCACCTCCAACACGACATTCTTGAGAGGGACGATAGAATTAGGTATCTGTCTGAAGAGGAGGCTGATAAGCGTGAGAGGCTTAATGCTCAGGAATGTGCTTAGTCGGATCGCCTGGTTGCCCGGGGATTAAAGGTCGAACTGGAGGAGGAGCAGCAGGCTAACAAGAAGCTTAGGAAGGATAGCATTTCAGGCTGCTCTAGGGACCAAGCAATAGCGCGAGTCATCTCTCGCTAAGGTCTGGTCTCTACAAGCTCGCTTTGCTTTTCTAGAGTCTGAGGCCTATCGGGGGAAGTTGTGGAGAAATACTGTGACATCCCCCTAGGCAAGGTAGAAGTGGCTCTGGCTTGCAAAATTGGCTTCGACTTCCTGCTTGGGTTGATCCCTCTTGAGTCCCGACCTAGCCCGAACTGTCTCCATTACCCATCCCGAGTCGCTAATTGCCTCGACATTTTGAAGGAGATAGAGATGAAGGGAGGTAGGTTAGTGCTAGATGTGGAGAACGGGGACGAGGGAGGCGAGGAGTCGGCAGAAAGCTTTAAAGTAGATAGCTGGGTTAGCCGGCCGAAGGGTGATCAAGATAAAGAGGATGCCCTTGCTTCTCCTCAGCCGACTCCCACTCCTGAGCCTAGTTCCGTACTTCGCAGTCCTACTCCAAATCCAAGTTGAGCTCCATGAGAGCTTCGTGTATATGTTCTTTTTGCTTTTGTCGAAGTAAATGTTGATCTAAACATTTTGGTAAATGAATAAAAGTTATATTTTCACCTTCTCCATTGGTGTATCTCTTTTCTTCATATGTATTAATTTTTATCTGGTTTGTTGAGTCCACATTTAATATAGGGTCGAGGCGACTTTGCCATTACGGCGAATGGGGCGACTCAACCTCATACCTTGTTTGTAGAATATGATTGTAAGGCCCTAAAATGTATGACTTGGGCTTATGAATGTGTCAAGGTATTGCTATGAACATTTTAGGCGGAAATGTTTGTCTTTATTAATTTCAACCACGTACCTTTGAGTATTCATTGGTTTTTTGGGGGTTGAGACGACTTGGATTCATGCCTTGGATTTACTCGCAGTGACACCAAGGTATTAGGGTATATGCCTTGGGCTTAGGAAGATGCCAAAATCTTTTAGCTGTTGTAAGTCTAATCAATATGCATAGGTTTTACCTTGTGTGGGCATCAAGGTCTTTTGGTCGGGGACATGCCTCAATTTTACTCATGAAAATGATATCAAGGTCTTTCGAGTCGAAGCCGACCGAGTCAAGGCGTGCCTTAGCTTTACACCGAGAGGGTACCGAGGGCTTTTGTCGATGACATGTCTTGGTCTTATCCTGAGTAGGTGCCAAGATCTTTTGAGTCAAAGCCGGCCGAGTCGAGGCTTGATTTAGTTTTACCCCAAGAGGGTACCAAAGGCTTTTGTTGATGATGCGCCTTGGTCTTACCCAGAGTAGGTGCCAAGTTTTTTTGAGTCAAAACCGAATGAATCGAGGTGTGCCATGGTTTTACCCTGAGAGGGTACCAAGGGCTTTTGTCGATGACACGCCCTGGTCTTACCCTGAGTAGGTGCTAAGGTCTTTTGAGTCAAAATCGACCGAGTCGATGACAATTGATCGATGAAATCTACATATTGATATACAGCAGGAAAAAATATCTTGTTTGAAGATAGTATCATTAATTTCATTACCATGGAGAGTACTATGTGGCATATGCTTAGACATGAAAAGATGCCAAGGTCTCCACCTGAGGTAGGCCGGCTTCTTAGCAACATCCTTCCTCTGATCCTTCTCATCGGCCCTGTTTGGTATGGAGTCGGTTCTGGGGGGACCTTTTGTCGCTTCCTTCCTTAGCAAGGGGGGTCGGCTGGTGATGTCATTGTAGACGTCAAAAATTACCTATAGGTTTTCGCACACAGCTCAAAATAAAGAGAAGGTGATGAATGTCATTATTTGAGTCAAAAGAAGATTATTCGATACTGTGAAGAAGCAAAGCGAGTCGGCAAAGCATACAAGTCAAAGAAACATCGAAACTGCGCAAAACGACTGAACAAGACCAAAATCGGGAAATTAGAAAGATATAGCCACTTCGACGAGACCCGCACTCATGCTAGCCACCTCGACGTGACCCGCACTCATCCTAGCGACCTCAACGTGACTCTCACTCATGCTAGCCACCTCGATGTGACCTGCACTCATGCTAGCCACCTCAACACGACCCGCACTCATGCTAGCTACCTCGACGTAACCCGCACTCATGCTAGCCACTTTGAGACGAAGCAAGGATGATAAACATCATCACCCGAGTCAAACAAAATAATCCGGTCCTGTAAAAGATCTAACGAGTGCACGAAGCAAGTCAACAAAGCGTACAAGTCAACGAAACAATGAAATGCGCAAAACAACAAAACAAGACCAAACAGTTACCTCTGATAGTCAAACTCGTCAGATAGTGGCCCACTAGACATTATGCTCTGTCTATCCCTTTTTTCCCCTGCACTTGTTCAAGACTGGGGGTTGGTTTATTGGATTATGAGTAATAAATCTTCTAAGTTGTCATGTTCAACAAAACACCTCTGTCAATAGTAAAATTCTTTCT